AAACATTGATGGTAGGTAGATGGAACAATGCCAACGCGGTGCATCCATACGCGCCCCAACAGGATATGATAAGATGTATCGCCATCAATAACAAGGAACTTTATGGAGGCTTGAAATTTGTTAACGGCTAGATCGACATTAACGTAGCCTATAATGCGACGAAGATCATTGCCAAACCCAGCAACTTCGATTAGATCTTTGATCAGGCGATCCTCGGGGATGCCTGCTTTGCGAAAAGTGGAGAGGGGCATGACATTGATGGAGGAACCATTATTAAGGAAGGCGCGTTTGAACTCCACCCCCTTGATGGAAGCCAACACGTACAGTGGTCAATTTTGAGCACCTTGACTCTGTTTGTTAGCATCAAAGAAAGATAAGGTTGTCTTTGGTGCAAAAGAGTAAGGTTTAGCAGAGGCAACCAAAGGACACACATCCCGTTCTGAAAGTTTAACATTATGGCCTGAATGCGTCTCTGTGAGCTAATCATAACAGGTGATAACAGCCACGCGATGATCAGGGTATGGGAAACGGCGAACATCCTTAGGGGGAGTGACTTTGAGATCGCCATTTACCATTCGTCGTTGGAAGAGACGGCGCAAACCCTAGCAATTAGTAGTGGGGAGAGTGACACTCTGGTGGTAAATGCAGAAATCAGCATTAGCTTTATCTACTGGGGTGGGCTCGCGACGTGGAGTGGGTAAGACAACGACACCATCTTTGACCCATTAAACAAGAATATTCTTGACCTCCTCAATACGAATGGTGAAAGGTGGTGGGTCTTCACCTTGCGGCTTGAATTGGGACTTGTCGAACCGCTTTTGTGGACGCTATTCAATGGTTGCTGTAGGAGCAGGCCTGCGGTTTAAAGACTTTGGAGCCTTGAACTTGGGAGTATCATATTTTGTAGGTTCATACTTAGCAACAAGTGGCTTAAGATCTTTAAGGTTTCAAGCTGCGATCTTAAGTTCACCAAAGCTAATAATTCTTAGGTTGACAAGATGGAGCTTGTAAATCTGCAGCATGCCTTGGATGCATATATCAACCAAGTCCATTTCATTGCTGCTTTTGAAGCACTCTCCTGCACGATCACTGAATCAGTCGATAAAGGCAAGGACATCCTCATTGTCGTCCTGAGTCTCCCTTGTGAAAGATAAGGTGGTAACACGTTCTTCAGCCTGGAAGAATTTGGTAAGGAAACGATCTTTAAGCTGTTCCCAGGTGTTGATAAAGTCTGGCTCAAGATTGAAATACTAACGATATGCTCGATTAGTCAAAGACTTGGAAAATTCACGTAGGCAAACCACATGATTGTCACCAAAATGACCCAAAGCCTCCACAAAACGTATGACATGCTCCTTGGGATCACCAGTTCTGCCGTTAAACTGTGGGAACTTGGGAACCAAATACCCTCGTGGATATGGGGTTTGTGTGATAGCCAGAGGGTAAGGACGCTCACTGCTAAAATCCAAAGCGCGAGAAGTTGGTGTGCCCTTCTTAAAGAGGTCACGCACCTCAGAGTGTGTGAACACTTCTTTTGGGGCGGAGTAGGAGTAGGAGGGGAGAGAACGATGTGCCTTAAGGTTTACCTGAGCATAAGTGGGAGGGGAGCAAAACATAGGCTCTTTGCCTTGAGACAAAAAAGCACGAGGAGCCATGGGGGTTACCTGTAATGCAGGGTTGTAGGGCTCTGGAGTGGGTTGTGATAAGTCTGCACTACAATCTTGACCTTTAGGTGACCTCGCAACCTGTTGTTTATGCAATAAGGGCAAGGTCACACCAGCTGGGATACTGTTAGCAAACACCAACTGGGTTACTGATGGGATCTCTGTAGGAATCGTCGTTGGCATTGCTGAAACCCTCTTATCAATAACATGGAGGGCTTCTTCAAACTTTTCCATTCGGGTCATCAGCTGGTGATTCATGTTCTGCATAGCTTCCAGAACAACATTGGCACTGGATTTATGTCTGGATTTTAAGGAATAAGATATGGTGATGGCAGCCCTAGCGCTAGTGTCTCTAGCGCTACTGGCTTTGGCACTTATGGCTCAATGACTAGCGATTTTAGTACTGATAACCTTAGCACCGATGGCTTCAACTACAGATACTTCTGCTTACACCAGAGGGGGAACCTTATCTGAATTCATCGTTTTGCTAGGATAATCCCCAGTAGAGTCGCCAAATGTAGATACTTGTTTCTCGTGGGTCCCGAAAGTAGCTGTAAGAGCCTGGGAATATATCACTAAGACAATATGAGGAATGCAGAGAGGTGGAAGAATGGAGAGAAAACCAATCAAGTCAGAGAATTTTAAGCAATGGTAGGGAAGAGGTTGCCATCGTTCTACCTGTCTCTTTTGTCATTGCCTTCCTTTTTATAGCCCTAGGTCATCCAGGTGGTACCTTGTTGGGCCTCTATACTCAGAACGGGTCAGAACCATCCCCTTTTTTGGGTCATATTACCCTAATCCTTACATTTTTGGATCGGCTGCCAAATGTACCTTTCCTGCTGAATAATCCAAAAAATGGCAGGCTATAAAGGCAATTGTACTATTCCAACTGTCTTTTGCTCTTATCCTCAAACTAGGTCTTGCCTTAATGGCAGGACATTACTAATTTTCTATCCTCCATTCCAAAATCCCTTTTGCATCCCAAAGTTACTCGAAGAATCCTACCACAACTCCTCGTTGATCAAGGTTAGATCGGGGTTCAAGACCCGTCGCTCGGCAAGTTTTGAAGAGGTCAGATTGAGGCTCAAGGTCTGTCAATCGACAGATTCTGCAAAGGTCGGATAGACGTTCAAGGCCCATCAATCGAAAAATTTTGCAGAGGTCGAATTGAGGTTCAAGGCCCATCGATCATCAAGCTTCGTAAGGGTCAGATCGAGGTTCAAGGCCCGTCGATTGACAAATTTTGCAGAGGTCAGATCGAGGTTCAAGGCCCGTTAATCGACAAGTTTCGTAGAGGTCAGATCAAGGTTCAAGGCCCATCGATTGACAAATTTTGCAGAGGTCGGATCGAGGTTCAAAGCCCGTCGATCAACAAGTTTCGTAGAGGTCAGATCGAGGTTCAAGGCCCATCGATTGACAAATTTTGCAGAGGTCGGATCAAGGTTCAAGGCCCGTCAATCGACAAGTTTTGTAGAGGTCAGATCGATGTTCAAGGCTCGTCGATTGACAAATTTTGCAGAGGTCGGATCGAGGTTCAAGGCCCGTCGATCGACAAGTTTCGTAGAGGTCAGATCGAGATTCAAGGCCCGTCGATTGACAAATTTTGTTGAGGTCGGATCGAGGTTCAAGGCCTGTCGATCGACAAGCTTTGTAGAGGTCAGATCGAGGTTCAAGGCCCGTCGATTGACAAATTACTCAAGGCCCAAGGTCCATCGACAGAATGTTGGCCCAAAGTTAGATACCCAGTGATCGATTATTGCTGAGGTGGACTTTGTCAAAGTGTTAACTGTTTGACTTGACCTTTGGTGACGTGGCTGCACCACATCCACAACTGTAGAAGCTCTTCTCTTTCCGTTTTGCAGTTGTTCTCAGTGGATTGTGCGATCACCGGTCGGAAATCAGAAAAAGTATTTTCACATCTCTCACTTTTTCCATTTCAGTCTACGAATTTCTTCAAATGCTCATATGATTTTGATTCAAATGTATCATTATTTAGTGAGAAATGGTTGATTTTTTGTGAGTATTGATGATTGTTGCTCTTTAGAGATGCTATCGGCATTTCATCAGAAGTGTGTGTAATTTTTATGGAGTAAAGTAGCTTAGAGTTCTTATGCTTTTCTTCATCACCAATATCATCTCCCTTTCTTATGTATATGTGTGTGTGTGTGTTTGTATGTCTTTCTCTCTCTCTGTATATTTTATATACGAGTATATAAAGAGTATCATTTTAATTTTTTATTCTTTTCGGTTGAGTGAGCTCTGATATGATCGGATTGTTGATTGTGGATCATTAATTAATTTCTTGAGGCCAAATTGCACCACTGTTCACACAATGAGCCTAACTTTCGTTAACAAGCTGTTAAATATAATGAGGAAAAACAGTGTTATGGAATCTTTAATACCAAAACTACCCCCATCGATTTGGGTCTACTTCTTCAAATGGTCAATTCATATAAGTACTCTGGTCATCCTCCATGTGAAACCCCTCTTCCAGCATGTTCTTCCTTGGAAACTTCTTCCTCTGCCACTTTAATTTGAATTGATCCATCTCTGATTCTCTGCTATATATTTTGAATTTTACTCTAGTTTTCTTGGTTGTGTGCCTTTGAATTTGATTGAATGGTTTTTGAATAGTCTAAAATAAATAAATAAATAAATAAATATATATATATATAGAGAGAGACACACACACACAGAGAGACTAAAGTCACACTATCTAATTAATTTTAGAGTGTCTACTACTTTGGTGTTTGTAGGGCTCTTCTAGGAAGTGTAAGTGATTACTGCTCCAAGCAGGTCAAGTGTCCACTGGTGGTTGTGAAGCAGCCTAAGAATGTTTAAGTTTTAAAAATGCAATTTATGAGTTTAGTGATAGTGTGATACCATCTGCTGTATCAATGTGGTTTTATTTCTCTCGCTATCTGCCATAGATGTTTAACATGTTATAGAAGTAGTATTTTTTATTTTTTATGATGATAAACCTGTTGAATTGTGATTAGCAATCCTTTTATGGTAGCATTTTTAAAAAAAGGAAGCATTTTATAGAAAGTTATAAGGCAAAATTCCTTGTAGTAGCATTGTAATCATGTTTTTGGCATAATATCATGTAATTATCTGGTTAAAACATCAAAAAATATGTATTAATGTATTCTTTTTTCTTTTCTTTTCCCCAAAAAAAGGGCTACTCCTGATCCACCTTGAAGTCCATTTTAATTGTATTTATTTTTGTTAACATTGTTTTTTTTCTTTCCTTTTTGTTGTGTGTTTCTTCTGGTTAATTTTTTATTTTTATTTTTTGGTTATGTAAATACTCTCTCTCTCACACACACACCCCACGAGTGCCCCACTCTGTTTCTTGTTATCCTGTTGTTTATGGAAGGGTCGAATTAATTTTTTTACTGTATTTTTTATTTTTGGTGAGTTGATTTATTTTTTATTTTTTGGTGAGTTGATTTTTTTTTATTATTTATATTTATTAATGTTCACTAAAAACTCACAATGTGGGGTCAAATTGTGATATATGTTCTCATGAAGTATTATTTTTTTTTTCTTAAAAAAAGAAGATTGAGTGTATACTATTCTCTTGCTGGAGGCATAATATCACATGCTCATTTACTCCTTTTTAATGCTCTATCGGCTCGATTAAGAACTAATCAGTTCTTCTTTTTCAAATGAGAGTTGGTATAACATTTGTTTATATTGAATGCTGAACTAAAATGAGAGTTCAGTTTCCTGTTTTTTAAAAAGTTCATTTTTTCCGTACAAAACCGAGTTGTTAGTCAATATGTTACAGTCCTCTAATGATTAAAAGGGCATAGTTGATTTTAAACAAAAATAGCTTGAGTTGTTGAATTCATGCTTTCTGATTTTCTTTTTTAAATATAGAACTCTAGATGCTTATCATGCCATATTTTCTCTTTATGATGTTCTAATGTCAAACCCTCAAATATTGGCAACATTTCTAATTTTTCAAAAGATGTGATTTATTGAATATTGATGTTACTGTTTTTGGCTTTTTGCCTTATGGCGGTATTTTAAATTGGTTAGTGCCACATTGGTGCAATTTATAACTAATTACCATTTCATGTTTGTGTCAAATATATATGTTTTGGATTCATATTTATAGTTGGGAAGAAGAACAAGGCACTTGCGATGAATGACAAGAAGAACAAGGCACTTGCGATCAAGGACAAATCTCAATCTTCTTGGTCGGCAAATTGCAGTGCACCTGCTAGGAATCCAAGTAAGAGTGATCCTGGTGTAGTTATTTTTGGATGCAAGCATCACACAATCGATGAATGTTATAACAGGCTGCTGTTTGGTTAGTTGGCTACCTTTTTCTGCATGCTTTTCTCTTTTTCTACTATATCTAGATTTTGATATATGCAGTTTAAGCTATTCAGACTCATTAAATGTTTTTCATATTTTTGAACAGGTATACCAGTTGCTCATTATTCATATGTAAAGAACGTCACTCCTGGTTTGCCATTATTCTTATTCAACAACTGTGATCGGAACCTTTATGGTATCTTTGAGGCTGTCAGCCCTGGACAAATGAATATCAATTGATATGGTTGGATGGAAGATGGTTCAAAGGACACACCATACCCTGCACAGCTATATGCATGTTACTATCACACTCTTTTTTTAACTTCTTTGAGGATTTGGGTGTATAAAACTGTGAATCATATGCTTTCTTTGTGTCTAAGGTTCAGGTCCAAATCCAGATGCAGTGACAGCCCTTGTCTGAAGCTCAGTTTAAGCCAATAATTGCTGAGAACAACTATGGGTATAATCTTTTTTATTTTGAGCTGGACCGAGCTCAAACCCGCAACTTGATCTCCTTGTTTTCATCCTCACCGGTTGCTGGAAATACCTCTCTTTCCCAGAATACATTAAGATGTCGGACCACAACTATTACAAGTCAAGCCGGTGATGACATTAGGACCACCGTTTCAGAGGCGTATGTTGGTCGTTCAGATCTGTCTAACATGCAATGATACAGAGTCTGTTATAGATAAGGTAACTAATGTCTGTTTTGTTTGCACCTTTTTACTACTGCTTCCTGAATTGAGATTAACTTAAAATGGGTGCCCTGCAAACTCTAGGTATGTATTGAACATTATTACGGTACTGTAGCTGCTGGCACGCAAGGGTCAGATTCCCAAATGCCATCTTGGTTTACTAGCTCTCTTACTTCTCTCCGTGTCTATAACAAAAAATCACTAATAGATGGTAAGACGTAACAAATTCAATATATTACAAAAATTACTTAACTGAATACAAATACATTTGTTACCTGATTTGGAGGTAAAATTTTCTATGTTGGTGGAAGGGAATTTATAGCCAATAAACGACGTTGCACTTTGTAAAACAACATAGAGTTGAATGAAATTTTCTTTTAGTTTGACCTAATATGGTTTTTTTTTTTTTTTTTTTTTTTTTTTTTTCAATTCTATGGCATGGTGTTCATGCTACCAATCACATCACTGATTTTACTTGGTCTTCTTAGTGTCATTCTCCAAAAAAAGGGCCTTCAATTTACCTTTCTTACCGTTGCTTACAAGAATGAAATTAGGTTGTGTTTGAATCATGTTGGTCCAAGTTCGTGCTTTTCTCTAATTATTCTTCTTTGTGACCTAATGAATTGAAATTGTTTTTCTGGCAATTCAGGTTAGATCAAACATAGAAATTCAACAATTGAAAAGCAGATGTAGCGCGTTGGAATCAGGGTCACTCTCTTCAAATTGGAATGCTGAGGAAGGAGCATCTTGGTAGGCATTTGATGGTTCTTTGGATCCGATGAGATCTTTTGCGTCCATATATTACTCAGCATCTAAGCTCAATGAATGGTGAATTCTATGTATTTTGCTCGTATCGATAGTGATGATGTATGGTAGGGACTATGGACTTAGATACTATTATACTTTTTGTATATTTAGATCCAAGTGTACTGGATGCTATAGACTCTGGAAATTTTAATTGAATTAGAAGGAAAGTCGCTATTATCTAATATTGCGTGAAACTGGTCCGTGACATAACTGTGTTTAGTACTACGTTAAATTTGAAGAAGGGAAATTAGTATTATTCCATAAGGAAAAAGACAGCACTATTAAAATATAAGCTTTTTTCGGTTGTTATAAGCTGACACTTTTCTTTTAGAAGCATCCTAAATGGTAAATATTTTATTTTTTTGGTTGAAAGACATGGACTCCATAAGGAAATGTTTTCGACACTTGCAGATCAGGGTAATTTTGTAATTATATATATAAAAAAAAAGTGAAATTCAATAAGATTTAAAATATATTATAAGTTAATTGGAAATATAATACTCTCTCTATTCTAATCTAATTACTAAATATGTTGAGAACCGTGATTCACATTAGTTCTCAAAAATAGGACATTTATTTTGGTACAGATGGAGTATATTATAAGTTAATTAGAAATATAATATGAAATTTAAAAAAATAAAAATAACAAACATTGTAAAATTAGTGATTTATTTATGATCCTATAAATAAAATGATAAAAACAATATTATATATATATTATACGGAGTATATTTTTTTGATGCTGTCCGTATCATTCCTCTAATTGTGCTCCCTAGATCCACATACATTATATTCTTAAAAATTGGTTGGGCTAAAAATGTGCAGTCCTTGGGCCTAAAAAAGACCGATAGGATCAAAATGCAGAATGTTGATTTTGATTTCTGGAACCAAGTTATGGAAAGATAATGTCCAACACTCGGAACAGTTTTGCAACTTTTACCTGTGGAAAAAGTTACCCTTGTTTATTGAAATTTAAGATTGACCATCTTCACATACCCCAATCCATCTGTATCACAAGATTGAATATCTCCAACAACAGTTTTAGATTGTCCATCGTCAACACTCAAATTTTTAGCTTTTTGGAAGGTGCAGAAATAGACCCTTAATTACTGGACCGACTGGTATAACCTCTTCTCCTTCAAAGGAAGAGATGAGGGGTTCGAACCCCATAGTGGACATTTGGGTGGGTGGCTCAGCTACTGCTTTCAAAGAGTAGCATTTCACATGAACCGTATTTGCTTTCACCCTCTCTTGCCCATTCAACATAACCAAGTCACACCCAGAAAAACATAACAAGCCGGACCCCTTCATAGTAAGGACTCCGAATCTCTTTCAATCAGAAGGCAGGGTCAGGAAAGCCCCAGTTGAAATTGGCAAAATAATGGAGGCCTTTATCATACATTTAGGCATAGCTAGAAATCTTGGCTATAAACAAATTGTACTTTCAATATTGGCGATAAGTTCCTAGCTGAATGCTTTAGCAAAGAGCTCCTATTGCTTGTTTTTCTGTACTTGAACATGTGCTAGCAGTTGACTGAATCTCATTGACAAGTTTATGTGAGATATATATTTTGGAAAGATTATAAAAAATATATATTCTGTAATTAGCAACTTTCGGTGTCAAAAAAAATCCTAGTCGAGTTATAAATTCAAGTTACTATATTGAGATCGACAGCAATTGCGGAATTGAAAGGTTGTTCAAAATTACTATGAATGAAAAAGGTAAAAACGACACTTTAGGAATGAATCTAAAAAGGTTAGGATACATTTCATACTTAGTATAGTTTCAAAAATTTGACTCGTGAAACCCGACTGACCTGCCCAAAATATTGATGTTTAAAAAATAAAATTTTCTTAAAATTTAAAAATATGGAAAATGAAAATGTAATTTGTAAAAAAAAAATACTAATAAAAAAAAAAAATTAACCCGTGAAACCCAACCGACCCGCCCAAAATATTGATGTTTTAAAATAAATTTTTCTTAAAAACTTTAATGTTTACTGGCAAGAGAAGTAAGATTCCGGTATGGGACTCTGTGCCGACAACGCCCGGTCAACGACTATAAAGAGAGTATGTAAACCGTCACCTGGTACCGGCACTATGGAGAGAGAGGTGATGGCATGTGATCGGACGGCAGAGGTTGATTCAAATGAAAACATCAATTTCAGCCAGAGATGGACTCGTAGAGGTCGAGAATGCAGAACTCTTTCTCCCGAGATTTCTGGCTCTTCGCTACGAATTCGGGAAGAAGAAGAAGGGTAATGAAATTAATGTTACAAAAGAAATTAAAACCGTATAACCTTCTCAATTTTTTCTTACACTGATAAAGTTCGAGTTTTTTAGGCAATTTGATTTTGTAATTATAGCTAATTTTCTGTTTATATGAGATGAATTTAGTTGTAGAAGAAATTTAAATCATTTACTTTGCTGAATTGTTTCTTACTGTGACATGGAAATTGTCTTTTTTTTTCTTTCACCCTCTGAAGTATGCTTTTGTGATTGGGAACTACATCTCCAAAATTTTTAAGTGCATTTATTCAGTAGTTTGGCCTTTTATTGAGAGATGATCATATATACAAATACATATATATATATATAACACCATTCAAAAATCAATGTAGGCCAGTGTGTGAAGATTTACAACTCGTAGCGAAGAAGATGAATTGTGAAATACAGATATATCTATATATATTTAAACTGACATCCCGTTAATTACTTAGTATTAGCAAGGTAGGTTGGGTTTCTATATAAGTATCCCAAGAAAAGGAAGAGGGCAATTAATAAGAGAATTTGGGCAAATATCCCTGCGAAAATGGCTGTGTAAGCTCAACATGGGACCAACCAAAGAGGGAGGGGAGTGATCGAAAGAGTAAATTTTATTGCGAAATTTTGTTTAGCAGTGCAGTTGGAGGGAGAGAGAGAGAGAGAGAGCAGGTTCTAAAAAATAGAAGGAAGATGGATTAGACAAAGGGGTACAACGGTCATATTGAAGGGCAATATTGGCAATATACAAAAGTACAGGTCACGTGATGCAACAGTTGGACAGAAAGTGGCTAAAGGTCTGCCAGGGGAGCAAGTTGCTCACTTTTGGAACTAGTATGAGGAACTACTATGAGTGATTTGCCCACTTTTTTGTCCAAGGGTGGTATTGTGCTCATATGGTGAAAGTCACGCCGAAGAGAACACTCTAATTCAGAAATATCCTTCGTGCAAAAATGAATTATTACCTCACCATTAACATGTTCACAAGAAATTTCGTTTTTGCACCATTTCCAACATGCCCAAGAAAAAATTTCTTCTTCCCCATGATGTCGAAAAGACAGTGTGCTTCCTCATACAGTGCCTTACTGCCTGCAATTACAAATAAGCGGAGATGACAATAAAATTAGCGGTGCACACAGAACCGTTGGAACCATACCAAACCGTTGCTTCAGTTCTTTTCTTTTACAGTTCAATTCCAGTTTCTGCTTCCCGTTCAAAGTCCATTGGAACCGAACCATAAACTATATATATATATATATATATATATATATATTACAATATTAATAAACAATAATAAAGCAATTGTCACGAAGATAAATCTACACACAAGTACACTATAATATGTTTTCTAGATTACACACAATGTCAAGGCTACTCTCACATGGTTTTTTATCTTCTAAATTTCATATTTGTTTCACAAAAATTGATAATAGCTCATTTGATTTTAGATTACAGATATATTTTATTTCTTGGTTGCGAGGTTTATTATTGACCATTTGTTATATAAGCTAAGTATTTTCTTTGATAAGACAAATTCATGCGGTTGGTAGAGAGTTGTTGAGATTTTTTTCTTTTGAAGTATAAAAAATAAAAAATAAAAATTGTTGCTCAGAACAGAAATGAACCGGTCTTTCACGGCTCGGTTTCAAACCTTAATGGTTCCAGTTACGGTTACAATTTTTAAGAAACCGTTAGAATCGGTTCAGTTCCAATTCAGCTTGGAACCGTACCGAACCGGACACCATGCACTCCTAAATAACATAGAATGTTTGCAGCCTGCATTTTTTTTTTTTTCCCCCATAATTGGTACTCACACACATGCCTCCACTAAAGCTTAAAACCTCCCTTTGGAAAGTAAAGACCTGATACCGTTAGGCCACCAACCCGTTAATGTTTGCAACGCGCATTGAACATAAGACTTAATAGCAATGACTACTAATGTCCTTCTCTGAGCATGCCAGCATGTATAGTTGTGTTAAAAAATCAACTTATATGTAGGTAAGTGCCTTGGTGTTCATTTTTTTTAGATCTCACTTTCACTTGGCAAAAGGCAAAACCTATAGTCTACTTAAAAATGTCTATTCACAAGAGAACTAACAATAGCGGTACCCAAATTTCAAACAAAGTTTCATGAAATGGAATTAATTTTGTTGTAACAATATATTAATTTTTTTTAGATCTCACTCTCACTCTCACTTTCAAAATATTGTAGGTTAATTAATTGCATTTCATGAAACTTTATGAACCTTGTTTGAAACTGGGATTCTCTATTGTTAGTTCTCTTGTGAATAAACATTTTTAAGTAGACTATAGGTTTTACATTTTGAAAGTGAAAGCGCGATCTAAAAAAATTTAATATATTGTTACAACAAAATTAATTGCATTTAATGAAACTTTATGAACTTTGTTTAAAACCTACGTACAGCTATTGTTGGTTCTCTTGTAAATAAACATTTTTAATATTTTGAAAGTGAAAGTGAGATTTAAAAAAAAATTAATATTTTGTAACAAAAAAATTAATTGCATTTCATAAAACTTTAAAAACCTAGTTTGAAACATGTGTACGCTATTGTTAGTTCTCTTGTAAATAAACATTTTTAAGTAGACTATAGGGAATATACTGCCTTAAAAAATTAAGTTCAAGTCTACAGGGAGTCTACATTTGTATGTAAAATTATGCACAAATTTTCTGGACTGTAGTTGTACTCTCTTCGAAATAAGAGCCAAGGATAAATGCATCCGACCATTGAAGAAAAATCAAATGATTAGAATATTATTTTATCTTGACCAATTCTTCCTTGGGTTATTAGACCAAGTTTGTTATGTTTCTATTCTTTCCTCTTACTTTTCCTCAAATTTTTACACTCTGAAGGGTGGTCATAGGTAGCTCTCTACCTCTTCTTTCTCTCTTTCTTTTTTACTGATAAAATGAGACCCAAAACATAAATTTGTCCACCACAATTATTCAAGTTCAAAATTTTAGCTCCCTCCTAGTGTTGCTGAATTCATACCTAGGTAAGCGCCTTGGTGTCACAGGCACCCCAAAAGCTTAAGCAACAAGATGGTGCGAACACCAACCCATATATACCCAATCACTTTCCCATTTGAATCCGAGGTAGGACAAGACTCCTCTGACTTTCTCCCACACCCGAACTCACAACGCCCTCATTGCATTCTACCAAACCCGTCCTAGACCCGATGAACTCCCAGATGCACACTTAGCGTGACGCCAGACCAAGGACTGGGCCTGGCTCTAATACCTACTGTAACAGGCCAGGTGTTTCACGGTCCGACCCAATAGCTTAAGTTATGTAGGACAAGTAGAAACTAGAAAGAAAAAAGGGGATGAGAATGAGAAGATAAGATGAGGCTAGACGAAGAAGATGAGAAATCAGATCGAATGAGGTAGGATAGATAGACAAAGGGATTAATATCAGTAGGAACACGAGGGAGAAGAGATACGAAGAGAGAGAGAGAGTTCACAAACTCACGTAATAATTCAATAATTCTCAAAAATCGAGTTCTCAAATTACGAAGGGGCCTTTAAATAGGCAAATTATAAAACAAACCCTCAAACATAAAAATACCAAAATAACCTTGAAATTCAAACATGATAAAAATAACAATAAGCATAAATAAAAACCCTAAATTACTAAAATCCCCAGCTTTATTTCTCTTTCCCTCTTCTCCAAAAGCAATGTTGAAGCATGTGCAACTTATGTATTCGAATCATATCCCGTTCCCCATCAATTCTCCTCGGTTGAGAAAAACTCTTCACCAAAGAGTAAAGCGACTCTAATTAACTCAGATCGAAGTGGCAAGACTCGTCTGAAGCTGGATAATACATCCATTGTGAATCATTCTAACAATCAATAATATCCTTAATCCAATTCAAATGTGATAACTGACATGATGGGAGGACAAGTGTTGCCGTTGAAGAAAATGCAATTTCACCTATAGAAATAGAAGCTAACAACACAAGAGGCTCAAAAGTACCTCGATTAGGCATTAAATACTCCAAATGAAAAATTGAACTAATACTATTATCCAATGTCAAGTCAAATATATATGCATAGGTCCGGATAAATGGATGATTTGAAAAGGTCCAATCCCTTGGGCAAGTAACTGCTGGAAGGAGTTCTTAGGAAAAGATAGTGGGTGTACATGTCCTTCAATAAATTTTTGATTCCTAATATAAGCATATGCAATAAATTCATAATTTTTATTACTCAAAATAATTTGTCGTATTATATCGGCATGAAGCTCATGGGCATACTCAACAAAGGAATCAAAGATTTTAAATGAACAAGGATGTGGAGGCAGCAAAATAAAGTCAATGGGTTGGCGAAGGAAAATCCCATATATAATCCCAAAAGAGCAAATTGTCAGCGCACCAATTAGCCAAGCTATTATATGCAAACTCCATGGCAGATAACAAAAAGTACGAATTGTTCAAGGGCGCCCTTACAAGATAATTAACCAACTTTCCTAGAGCACGATTAACAACCTCATTTTTTGTGTCAATTTGAGGACAAAATGCAAAGGAAAATTTCAAACTAGTGTCCAAAGATGCCCAAAGTATTTTCCAAAATTGGCTTTTGTATTTAACATCCCTATCTGAAACAATGGAAGTGTGTGTGTCATGAATGCTAACTTCCTCTACATGATTATCTAAAATGGGCTGATGTGGTACATTAGATTTAGGAGGTTGACATTTAAACACATTTTTAGATGGAACCTGAAAAATTCCTTTCGACATTTTTCTTGTTAACATGAGTTCATCAACCCAAGGCTGAGGAGATGGCCTATATTGTGCCTTAGAGTCCTTTTCAAATGGCTTTGCGGGATTTAACTTGATATTTTTGCCATTATACTGGAAGCTATAGGTACTCTCTCTATAGCAATGAGTTACACTTAAATCACAAATCCATGGGTGACCAAGTACTATATGGGCTACTTCCGTAGGTAGGACGTCACACCATATTTTATCGAAGTAGTCACCCATTTTAATAGGGACCAGACGTCTTTCTAAGACTATCAAAGATGTCTCATTTACCCAGTCTATCTTATATGGATGCAGGTGAGGCTCGGGTTGAAGTCTCATTCTAAGAACACCTGATTTAGACACAGCATTTATCGAACTTCCTTTGTCAATGATGATTTGACAAACTTTTTCCCTACATTTAAGAAATGTGCAAAATATGTATGCATGCTTCCAATCATTTTTCCCCAGAAGAAGAGATGGAATGCTGCTTAGGCTTCTGGATGATTTTGGACTAAAGAAAATGTCATGATGGTGGTCCATGGACTTGACATGATAATTGTGATGATTATTCCTAGTGTCATGTCAAGTGTTGGAGAAGTAAATGTGTCACCCCTTGTATGCATATATGCCAAGTTCTCACGGAGTTGGTTGAGTGACTCATTTATATCACTCATGGCATGCTCTATTCTGTGGATTCTCAATTCCATTGCGAGTGAGGCTTTGGACACATCTTAAATGGCCATGGTGGTCTCAATGGGACGACAATGTGGGTATGACATTTGTTAGGAAAGATTTGCCAATATATGACCCAAATTGAATTAAGTAAACCAAATTATGACTTATTGCAATGCTCACATAAGAAACAAAAATGCAAATAAAGCAAGTCATGTTGAATACTGCAAACTTAATTATGAGAACTAATGCAAGAAGATGAAAATTAGGGGCAGTATTGGTGATGGCAGAACTGGAGGAAAGTGTAGTAAAAGGCCAATCAACACAATCAATGGTTCTAATTCAAAGACCTTTTGCAAATTTATAGACTTCAACAAACACATAAAAGTACTTGGAACAATTCTCAATGAAGTATGTGTACCTTTACCAAGTCCGATTTGAGTGTCCGTGGATGCTTGGAAGTAGCTCTGCAAGGTGTATGAGAGAGAAATCCTGCTCCAAATACTTTTCTGAAGTTTTTTTTTTTTTTTTTCAGTCTACTGCTGAACAGGCTGAACTATTCTGTTGTGGCTTTGAAATTTTGTCTGTGGCTCTGAAATTTGGTCTGATGTCAGATCTTCTGAACCAGGCTAGGCTTGGGCCTGAATACTCAATCTGCTACTTCCTGAAATGGGCAGCATTTGACTAATTTAAATTTGAGTTTGGTCAAATCTGTTTTATAAGGCAAACAAAATATATCCTTTCCAAACTCAAATCTGAACTTTCCAAACCAGACGGGATAATCCAAAGTTGACTTTCCAAAATCAATAGCGTTGAAATTTGCAATAACCCCACGTTTACTTTCCAAAATCAGTAGCGCTGAAATTTTGGTGACAACTAACTATTGCAAAGATTGCAATAATCCAAAGTTGAGTTTCCCAAAATCAGTGGCATTGAAATTTTGGTAACAATAACGATCTCAAAGATTGCAATAATCCAAAGTTGATTTTCCAAAATCAATCCCTGAATTCTGTGCTGAAGTGGCGATACCGACAATAACCAAACTTGACTTACCAAAATCACACACGAATTCTTTGACCCCAAAATCAAGTACGAAGATATAGCAGATATTCTAGGCTAAAGATATAGCAGATTATAAAACAAACCCTAAAACATAAAAATACCAAAATAACCCTGAAATTCAAGCATGATAAAAATAACAATAAGCATAAATAAAAACCCTAAATTACTAAAATCCCCAATTTTATTTCCCTTTCCCATTCAAAAGGGGAACGCATGAATACAAATAAAAACAAAAAGAGCAAAAAGCAAACATTAAGCCACCAAAGAAGCCAAGAAATCTATCATGGCGTCGGGAGCAAAGCACTGCCTACCCGAGCCCCAAAAGAAAAAGGGACTAATAATAGATGACTTAAGGACGCCAATAGAAGATTCCTCTCCTTCAAAGGATCTACTATTACGCTCCCTCCACAAAGATCACCAAAGACACAAGGGCGCCATTCTCCAAAAACCTCTAGCCTGAGGACCCACGCAGCCCCCTCTCCAAGCCTCCATCAACCCTCTCGTAGAACCACGCATGACCAACATGATCCCGAAAAGGCCCAATAAGAGACTCCAACAATCAAAAGCCACTGGAGAATGCAAAAGAAGATGATTCACCGATTCTCCATTACGCTTACACATGTAACACCAATCAGCAAAACAATGGCTTCTCCTCCTCAAATTGTCAATGGTCGAGATCTTTCCCTACACCACCGTCCAAGTAAAGAAAGCCACTTTAAGCGGCGCCACACTGCCTTCCACGGAAACATCCAAGCTGAATCCGAGAGACAACCAAAGAAATATCTCCCAGTAAACGTACCCCGAGAAGAAGAGATCCAGGCAAGAGAGTCCCTACCTTCACCATGAATCTCTTGGTTGTACAGCAGCTCCAAAAAACCGTTGACATCATCCAACTCCCAGTCCTGAATAGATCTCCGAATAGAAACATCCCAGGTCGTCCTCCCGCTATCAAGCCGATATCGGTCAGCAACCGAAACATGCCTATCCAATGCAATCCGGAACAATCTAGGGAATGCCCAAGCTAAGGTACGACCTCCACACCAAATATCCTCCCAAAAACCACGAATATCCCTGCCATCCTGAACTCTGAATCTGATATGTTTAGAGAATTCGTTCCACCCATTCCGAATGGCCTTCCAAACCCCCACACCTCCAGTCTATTTAATGCTACAAATTCAATAGAACCACATGCTATCATATTTTTCTTAAATATCTCAAACTTTTAATACTTTCCCTTCCCTAATTAATCTCGATGTGGATCGTGTCAATCTTCCTCATTGGTGCATTTATTTTTCCAATTTCTATCTACAACGTATTCATCATTCATTACTCTTGACTGAGGTAAATGCTAAGACACACGATTCGCGAAAGAAGGTCGGCGATTTGCGTTCCGAGCACGAATTTCCGAATTGAAAGCGGATTCGGCAGGAATTCGCGAACTCATTTTTGGGAATTCGCAAATTCATTTTGAGAATTCGCGAACTCATGTTTTGGAACGCTAATTCAAATCATTCCCATTCAACATGTACTGTCGAAGCATAACCGATGCAAAAAATCAACGTTTCTTTCATGAAATCTGACCTAGCTCCTCCATCTCTGACAAGAAATAAGAAAGAATAAATCAATTTTTTAAGAAGAAATCAAACCTTTCGATGCTTCACCTTAAGATTTAAGAGAGATACAACGTGACCAGATCCATGAAAGACATAGAGTGAGTTGTGTGACTGGCATGAAGCGGGCTGGTGCTGCCGGCGAATTATGCAATGGTCACGGTGGGATTGATTTGCAGAGGAGGACTTTGCCGCTGGTTTTAGTTTCAGGTTTTAGGGTAAGGAAACCAATTATACTAGTACATTGGATAAAGTTTTATTTGGATGATGGGTTGAGAACAATTATACTACATTGGGCCTTATTAATGAAATAATGCTTATCGAGCCGAACTTAGAATAATAAGGGTTAAACTTTTAGATGTAGAATAATACTCCTTCTATGGGTTTTAAAATTAAAGAGCTTAAATATATATAATTTAGGAAAGAAAAAAAAAAAGAATATATATATATATATATATATATATATATATATATATATATATATATTAATAATAATAATATAGACGCTCTCGAGACGCTCCCGCTCTCAAGTATTTTGGATATTGGCGCTCTCGCGCTCGCATTTTCGCTCCCGCTCCCGCATTATGTGACTTAAGGTAAATGTTGACAAATTTTGAAAATTGTCTTTGATTTATTTTTCTTTTTTTAATTATTAAGTTAAAGCTCTTACAAGAAAAGTCAAACAATTTAATGTTAAAACTCATACAAGAAAACTTAACATTTTAATTTAAGTTAAAATGGTTACAGGCACGTTACCAAATTAACCAGTATGTTGAAGAATATATTTCCTTCTCGGGGAAGAACAGCAATGTAAGAACTTTCAGCAAAATGGGTTATCAAGAAACTGCAGACAAAATATTGCTATCAATTAAAGTCTCCCTCCATTGAGGGGTCTGGGGGTTTAGATGTCCGCAGCCTTAGGATATTGCTGACAGTTCCTTTATAAAAATAATGGAATAGGCAACACCTCTATTTCAAAACTCAGGGCAGAAAACACATCAATTTCAAATGTTTCGCGCCAAGTAACATCAAATGCAACAACAGAACTCACTGTCCACGTCCAAGCATACAAAAATATACAAATACATGCATACATATGTATATAGAGAGATAGAGAGAAAGAGGGTACCTTAGAATGGGTCCGGTTCCATACAGTCACCTTAACGCCATGGCGGAGCAAGGTTATGGACACGGCCTTCCCCATGATTCTCAACCCTAAAAACCCAATTTCCACCATTTTTATTGTTCTTCAGTTTTGGTGTGGGCAATGATCTCTGCACTGCTTTAAATCCTCTCTGTACCGATGCCATATACAAATAAAATAACCATAGTACACTTTTCACTCACAATGACAAAACATTGTGATACAACAAAACAAAGATAGTGATATCTTATTTGATTACACAATTCTTTATTTACTATAGATAAAGATCATTGTCGTTCCTGATATGCGTTTTACAGTTATTTCCCCTGCCTTTTTTTGCCTTTTTTTCCCAGTTCAGATCGTTCAGAAGAACAAAAAGAAATAAGGATTTGCAGATGGGTTCACTAATCAGAACAAAAATAAGAACTTAGTTTTTTTTTTTTTTTTTTTTTTTTTTTTTCTTCCTAATGCTAAAAAAGTAAAAAATAAAAAAAATAATAATTTAATGTTTTTTTTTTCTTCGTAATGCTAAAAAAAAATTGGGATTCAAGTTGGAAATAATAAAAAATCTAGGAATTAGAACCATAAGAATAAGAGTTACCTGTACATTATCTTAGATTGATCGGAACAAATAGATGTACCAAAGAAATAGAATTGGATACTATGTAGATTCCAATTCCATATATGGAATTGATATCTACATAATCCTATCTTCTTTATTATAGAGTACGACTTTATACACTACAATAACAACACTAATAGATAGTAGGGTAGAAGGTAAATATTAGAATACTGCTAATTCTAGTCCGCTCATTCAATTTAAGAACACAGAAGTCAAGTTTTATTCAAATTAATTAATCATTTTGACTGACTAGAAAAAAGAAATAAGGATTTGTAGCAAAAAGAAACAAGGATTTGCAGATGGGTTCACCAATCGGAGATGGTGATGATCGGAACAAAAATAAGAACTTACAGATGGGTTCATTAATCGGAGAAGGAGATGGTCGGAGCAGAACAGACCGGAAATCCAAGATGGCACTGATTGGAGATTGGCGAGAAGCAGTGATCGCTTCACTGATCAACTCTCTAGAAGCGGCTATACAACTTGTGAAGAAGTATTTAGGGTTTCTAAGTTGAGTACATGCTATAAAATAAGTTATGAGGGCAAAATGGTATTTTTGCATTGTAAACTGGACCGTTTAATCCTTTTCTACTGCGGCACATAAAAACTCTCAATTCACCCCCAAAATGATATCTTGGCCATAAGTGGAGGTGGCAAATGAGTGAATTAGGGCGGGTTTGGAATGGGTTGGATATTAATGGATCAATTATTCAATCTCATTCCATCAATAATGAGCCAAAATGGATTAACCCATTATAACCCCTTTTTTTTTTTTTTTTTCACTTTTGCATATTTTTACTTTCTATGGCTAAGAAAAAATTTAATACTCAGTAATTTGTTCTTACGTTCATTTTTTTATTTCAAGCATTACAATTTTTTTTTCTTTTTTTCTTTTTTTATAAGACAGAAGGAAGGAATCATTAGGTGCTTTAATTAGATATGGATCATCAGGTGTTTAATGATATTTTTTATTAAAAACAAAATCCAATAAAAATGTTTTTTAAAAAAGTAATTGTTTAATTAAAATTCAATAAAGATGTTTCAAATCATTATTAAAATAATTAAAATAAAATAATTAATTATTTTAAAAAATAATTTAATAAAATAAATTATCAATTAAAATTAAAAAGGTAATTTTTTAATTAAAATTTAATTAAAATGTTTCAAAATTATCAGATAAATTACCTATTTAATTATTTATAGATAAAATAATAAAATAATTTTTTAAATAATAAAATAAAATACGTAATTATTTAATAAAATAATTTACTAAATAATAAAATAGATAATGACAAAAAAATAGATCATTACGAAGCCCAGAAAACATAGATCGCGACAAAAAAATGTAGGGACAAAAAACTTACATGCACAATCAATGATTAATCGCATACAAAACTCTAATCACGTTAATAAAAAGCACATAAACCAAATTAAAAACTAAATTAAATATCCCTAATCAAATTAATCACTTGTCAGATTCGAATGTGGTCCACTACATCGTAATAAATAAACCCTAACTTTCTAAAACTTGGACCCATGACAAAATTGTAAGCTTTACAAACAATAAACAAAGAAAAAACATAGATTGTTTATATGAAATCGAACAAAGAACAAACACAAAGGACCCACATGGTCGGAATCAAACAAAACAAAAGCTTAGTTTATCTTTACAAACACCAAACAGACAAAAGTCTCAATTTTGGTGTTGAAATCAAACAAACTACAAACACAAAGGACCCACATAGTCGGAATCAAATAAAACAAAACCCTAGTTTATCTTTACAAACACCAAACAGAAAAAAGTCTCAATTTTGGTGTTGAAATCAAACAAACTACAAACACAAAGGACTCACATAGTCGGAATCAAACAAAACAAAACCCCTAGTTTATCTTTACGAACATCAAACAGACAAAAGTCTCAATTTTGGTGTTGAAATCAAACAAACTACAAACATGAGGACGCACATGGTCGAAATCATACACATAAACAGATCCTACAAATGCGAAATCCCAAAGTTACAACACACGCAGAAGAAGAGGAGGAGAGGCGGAGAGGCGTATTACACATTAGGGTTTGTGAGCGAGTGAATGAGAAATCATATAGGGTGAGTTATGTGTTATTCCAAAACAGGGTCGTTTAAATGGTGGATATAATGTTAATTTAACATTAACTGAATTTTATTATTATTTTTATTTATTGTAGAAAGAGAATTTTAATATTTTTATTATCCCTAATTAATTGATCAATTGAAGGAAGGTTCTTATTTGTCCTTAAAATAAACTTAATTAAGTTTTGAGAACTTATTATTTGAGCTATTTGCATTATAGGGGTGCTAAATGCTCGATCCCTATATTATAATAATAATAATATATTTGTGTTGCAAATATCTAAGAACATGAAGTGTCATTTATGCCCTTAGTCATTCCTTGTGTACTTGTAATGCTCTCTCTCGTCCGGAGACCCACCAACACAATCTCTTCGTGACCAAAACCAATCGCCGCGACCACAACATCTCTTTCAATCTCTTTCAACACTGACAACCAAGCAAGCTTATATCCTATGACTACTCTTATTCTTTTCCATAGGGTCAACAGGTTGGGATAGGAAACTGAGATCTATAATTGAATTCATAAAGTGAAAAGGAGTGAACCTCCTTCAAGCTCTGTTCCGCAGCCTCGATGGAGATGGTCCTCTATAAATAAAAGAGAATCAGTAATGATCGCCTTTACGGTTATCTCTTTTTCTTTTTTTTCTTTTTTTAACAATTTCCGCTTCAAAAAATCTAATAAAAAAAGACCGAACTTCATTTTGTAGCCTCCAATACGATGGAGATGATTCGCTGACAATAAAAGAGAATCAGTGATCATCCTTATGCTTACAGATTTTTTTTTTTTTTTTTCGCCGGACTCTAGAAGACTATTTTATGAATAGGCATTTTTTTCATTAGGTTTTTTTAATATCCTTATGCTTACAGATTTTTTTTTTTTTTTCAGCAGGACTACAGAAGACTATTTTATGAATAGGCATTTTTTCATAAGGATTAATTCTTTTTCAACAACATTTCCTTTTATTATATTCTTGTAAGTGTCTACCTTTTCGCATAAGTATATGCCGAATTTGGCTGCTCTTTTTTCTCATGTTGTAGCTGATGTTAAAAGTATTAAGGCTCTATGCATCCGTTATTGTCTTCTTATTGTTCCGTACATCCAATATTTTTCTTGTTATTGAACAATATCTGAACTAAGGCTATTGAACAATGTCTCCGTGAAGAAGCACATGTTTGTCCAAAGCCACATAGTAAACCTGATGTAAACGGGAAGGGGTGAATTGGTTCTCTAAATTCTTTATCCGAGTGACTACTCAGTCTGTATGAGTGAAGTGAAAGTACTACCAATTAAGTAGTAAACTAGCACTGAAGTAGTTAACTATGCAGCTCAAGTTGAAACCCTAATTTCCACCAAATGTTTGACGTAGGGTTCCCATTCGACATTGAGTTTTTTTTACAAGATAAAACCTTAATGTGAGGTTAAAAAACCTTGGAGGTATGGTGCTCACCCTCAATCCACTATGTAAGCTTTAAAGAGATTACACGCTCAGTCATCACACTCTCAAGCACACACCCATATTCATATTTTATAGCCACAACACTAACAGGCCTGTGGCCTAACGGTATCAAACCCCTACTTCTCAAAAAAAGGTCAGGCATGTGTGTGTAAATACCAACTAGGAAAAAAATATATATTTTATAGCCACAACACTTTTGCTTGAACGAGTCTCTTGCAAACACTCACAATACAGTGGACATATATTGAATACAAAGTTCTTTGGCTATAAAATATGAATGGAAAGCAAAACAAGATCAGAGAAACTGGCAACGGGGCTTGTTCAACTCCAGCTTATTCAGCACAGAGGAATAGAAGATGTGAAGGATGTTCAACCTGTCCATGCTTGAATCCAGCTGAAATGGTTTCTATCAAGTGTTTTACACTTGCCATGATGGATTTTAAATGAAGAGCAGCAAGGGAACTCGGTTCTGTGGAAGATGAAGCACACAACAGCTTTTACAACTCGGTAATCTGGTTTGACAAGTGAAAATGGGCTGCAGTGGGTAGGTCTTCGGAAAATAGATTCTGCAGCTTCAGGCACTGAAACACGACTTGCTCAAACCATTTTTTAGCTCAAGATCAAAGTGAAGATACCTCGGAGCTCTATTAGGCCTCTCCTTCGACAGAGAGTACAGCAGAGCTCAGCAAATAATTCATATAGATCTCATGTCATTCTTGCTTTTAGTAAATATTCACAGTTCACTCAACAATGTTTCTAAAAAGATGTAGCTCTCAATATGTCTTGCTTAAATTTTTGTTCAGATGATGAACCCCCCGTATAGTTTGAAGATGATGACTCAAGTGGATAAGGATGCCAAGGATGCCAGCTATGACAGCACATTCCGTATCCTTTTTCTGACCGCTACAGCTCACAAAAGGGAGCCTTTCTCACTCAAAATGTCGGCAACATTTGACATATGACCGTTGCCCTTTGAATTCAAACATTACATTAGCACAACGAGGATTGCAATAACATTATCAGATGACTAGAACAATCTAAAATTGATGGCACATGACAAAGCACATGACTTGACACCGGTGCTCATAGTCACTGTTAGTATACCCGCTTATGCAATGTTTGAAGTGCAGTAGATAATTTAGTAGAAATTGATCATGCAGAAAGAGTCAAGCAGACACTTGCAATTGACATTAAAAGAGCAAACATACATGGGGCATAGACCAACAAAACCAAGGACTGCCTATATTTATTTGTCTCTTAGGTTGGTTTAATACGCACACAAAAAGAAACGTTTGCAACCAAAACTAAAACAAAGCACATGATACATTTCATATTTGTTATTTGTTACTGCAATTTTTACTGTTCCAACCAGCAGAACAGTTCAAATTTTCACTAGTTGTAAGCGTTTGCAATTCATTAGAAGCACGTCGTCGTTATCATCACGGAAGTACTTTTTAGATGGAACGCACAGCTTTGGCTTCCATAATCACCAAAGAAGTTTTATAACAGCCATCATGCTTAATCTATATGGCGTCGTATCGATAGGTCCTTCACCGCCTCGTGCACAGCTGAAAAATCAAAGCCCCCAAAACCCATGCTGCTGGCTTTCTCGAATGCCTACATGATGAATGTGTGAATTCAATCATCAGAGAGCTATGTAAACACTTCCATAACCAGCAAGATTTGAGGGATTTTTGCAGTTATTTTTTTTTTTTTTTTTTTGATAAGTGATTTTTGCAGTTATTTTATAAACCCACTGAATCAATGGGTCCAAACAAAATCAGGTTTACTTTAGGGTCACCTAATCTAAGGTGGGGTAAAAAGTTGCCACCCCTGCTTCATGCATTGAAGCTTTTCTTGATCAGTTATAAGGATATATAATAGACCTTGGGTTAGTCTTTTTCTTTGTCACAGTCAGCATAACATTTGGGTGCAGGTACAGAGGTGAAGGAAA